GAACACTTTAGAGGGGAGGAGTGTAGTGCATTATGAGTAGTATGGATATCAACGGGCGGACAAGAGATACAGATAAATCATGAGACGCCGGCAAACGAAGGAGTGATGGAAAATCAACCAGAAGACGTACGCGAGGGGCACGAGGCAATCTAAACAGATGCTCATTGAATGAAAGGTTGCAACGGCGCATCGCTCCTGAAAGGTGCCACGAATGTCATGCGCAAATTTGACTCCCGTTCCTATGTTCGAGTTATTGTGTTAACCAGACGCGTTCTCCACCAGACGAGCCGTACGCCTCCCATTGGGTTCGACATAACTACCGAAATGACATGGTTCGGAATCGTTTGGTGTTTGGCGTGAAAAGCATTCGCATTCAGCGCTACCTGTTGACTGATAACTCATTGACTTTGGAAGCTGCCTATGATGTTGCGACGGGAATTGAGGCTGCTAAAAGTAATGGCCAGCTCCTACAGAATTTACAATAATTCCAAGCCGTGTACTGAAGATGTTCCGGCTGAAGTCAACAAAGTTGATAAAAGCACCACGCGCTCGTTCAACTGCTGTCTTTGCGGGTTGCGACACAGTCATCCCAGAGAATGCAATCATGCTCAGACAATTTGTAACACATGCCAGAAATATGGATACTTCGCCCGTATATGTTGGTCGAGTGCGAATCCAGTTTCCTCAGTGAACAACCACAAGGTTATCTATTGCGCACAACTACCCTAGGTGCACTGCCATCATTTCGCATACAACTTTGTGTTAACAAAGTTCCAGCGCTTTTCGCAATGGATACGGGCAGTGCAGTAAAGTTGTGTAACGAACGAACTTAATTGCAAAGTTTGACACCGATGAGCCACACCAAACTCTGTTGGGCGCCCCTGCGATGGCGTACATACTCGGGTGGCAAACTAAAACTGCAAGGGGTGAAGAAGTTTGAGGTGTCATATGGAGGATCGACAACATGAGGAACCATTTACATCGCACACGGAGACGGTCCAAACTTACTGGGCTGCGACTGGATCACAGCTTCCAGTTCTACAGCTAGATCATTTTTCCTTACCATCGAATATACAACGCTGTTCCAGCAGTACGCACCACTAGTTGGGACGTCATTGGTGGACAAGTTGCTATCTACATTCCACGCGGCACACAACCACGATTTATCAAGATTCGATCGCTGCCGTATATGATGCGATCGAAGGTGGCAGATGAAGTTGATCGCCTGCAGAAGAGCGGAGTCATAGCGACAGTACAGTTTTCAGACTGGCTACACCAATTGTTCCAGTACTCAAGCCGGATGGATCGATTCGTATATGTGGGGATTATAAAATTGCTATCAATTGTAGTATTCCGGCTGAAAACTATATCAAAAATTGGGGACCTTTATGCGCAGCTTGGTACCAGCAAGTATTTCTCAACCCTAGATCTGGCGCACACTTATCAGCAGTTTAACCTACACGAAGACGACGCAAAAAGACCATCAGCACCCATCGCGGTTTGTTCAGATACAATAGACTACCATTTGGCATACATTCGGTCCCGGCCATTTGTCAGCGAACAACAGAAGACATCATAACAGGTTTGCTTAAAGCTTTGGTATACCTAGACGACATCCTGGTTACGGCGGCAATTGATGAACGTCTACAAACTGCGACTAGTTATTGACCACCTGAAAGAGAATGGTTTGAGGCTTAAATGTGAAAATTGCTTATTCTTGGCTCTCTACGTTGATTAGTTGGATTTTCGTGTAAATTCTGAGGGACTGAAGACGATTGAAGAGAACATCTGGATTATTCTTAAGGCACCACAAACAGGAAATCAATACGAGTTTAGGTCGTGCTTGGGAAAATACAATCACTACTCAAGGTTTGTTCGGCAATCAGCCATAGTGTTACCCCCGTTGCATCGTTTGTTATGTAAGACTACTCAGTGGGTGTGGTCTGACGCAGGAATTGGCTTTTCGTCAAGGTAATAGTGCATTGGCCGGTCCACCGGTTTTGGCCCTCTTTGGCCCCGAAAAGTACATGACACTGACATGTGATGCTTCTACTTACGGAGTCGGAGCCGCCCTGTTACAACCTGACGCGAACGGTGTAAACAAACCAGTTGCATTTGCCCCTCGGACCTTTTCACAGACCGAACGAAATTCCACCCAACTAGCCAAGGAGGCTTTGGCGGTCGTATTTGGTGTTGTCCGTTTTTACCAATACCTGTTTGCGCAGCTATTTGATATACAAACAGACCACAAGCCATTACTGGGAATTATGGGTGAATCAAAAACCATACCCTCAGTAGTATCGTTCCTTATGCTTCGCTGGACCCTACTACTCGCTGGCTATCAGTATCAATTGCACTATCTTCCCGGGAAGGAGAATCAGTGTGCCAATACACTCATCCGACTTCCATTACGGGAGGTTCCGATTCAGACGCCAGCTATGAAATAACTGGCACAAGTAATATCTTGGTTATCTGATTCGCCGGTGACGGCAATGGAGATAAAGTCGGAAAAATGAGTGACCCAGAACTATCCGATGTGCATGATTACATCCTAACTGGTTAGTCGGACCGGGTAGATGAAAATCTAAGAGCATTTCACAACCGAAGAGATGAATCAAGCCTCCAGGACGGTTGCATATTTTAGGGCTCTCGAGTCATCGTCCCCAAACAGCATCGTCAAACAATCCTGCGGGAACTTCATATGGGTCACTAAGGAAATTCAAATATGAAGGCTCTGGCACGTAACTATGTATAGTGGCCTGGAGTAGAGCAGGAGATAGAACAACTCGTACAATTGTGTGCTAGCTGCGAAGCAAATAACTCATCCACAAAACCTGTGCCAATGTTTCCCTGGCAAAGGCCCCCTCGCCTGTGGGACGGAATACACACTGACATTTGAGGACCTGTCGACGGTTTCATGGTGCTGGTTGCGGTGTACACACACTCCAAATGGATCAAAGCTCGGGCAAACACATCCATGATTTGGTCGACTACCATGTATACACAAAGAATATATTCTCTACATGTGGTGTACCATGTACGGTTGTTTCAGATAACTGACTGATATTTACCAGCGAATAGTTAGGACAATTCCTGAGTCAAAATGGGATCGAGCACCTTCTCTTGGCACCATATCGCACTTCGTCCAATGGTCTGACAGAGGGGGCGGTTGTGACAATTTAAACTGGGGGTGGCCAACCAACGCTCCGGAAATTTATCTACTCATCGGGACAGATTCCTAGCACAGTATCGCATTACACCACACACTAACACGGCTCATCCACCTTATGAATTTCTGATGGGACGACGTCTGTGCACTCGGTTGGATCTGATTAAACCTAATATGCATCGAACGGACAGTAAATGCCAGCCTTCGATAAAGCAACGCTGCGACATGAAAACGAAGGATCATGTGGTCGAAGCGACCGGAGGCAATGAATTAAACTTGGATCCGGGGGATTACGAGAGTAACAAGTGGTAGTGCAGTGGAAGCGAAATTGGAAGATAGACGAATACTTCGACGTCATTTGGACCAAGTGCGACGACAGCCTGCAAATCCAGAAGAGAGACAAGAAAACTTCCATCTCCTGCAGCCCTGAGAGTAGCACCAGAACCATTACCAAGTGAAGCCGACGTTGAGGCACCTGTGAAGCTATGGAGATCACTTCGTGAGGAACACAGTGTAGAACGCTATCAAGCTGGATACTCTTAATCTAGCGGTGGAAGACTGTTGTGATCGGTTATCACGAGCCACGGTCTGTTTGGCGCTTCATGTGCTTTGTGCGTGAATAAATGTGCGTGTTTTGGGGAGAACCAGTGACTTAGTCATGTGTACACCTTATAACTATGCCCTTTACGTGTCCATGTTCTTACTTAAAATAGGGAGTAGGCAAGACTCAAATCATTCGAATTACCCTATCCATGACCGCTTCGGACAGAGGTTCTGGAAGCCCTTCAAGTACGTCGGATTCTAAAAAAATACACCCATCTCAGTGCTCTGGCTTCCTTAGCTCTTTAGCCAATATTGATGCATTGCGTTGCTTCTCCTGGAAAAGCTAGGCTCAATGACTAACACTTGGCCGAGTACACTTTCTTTTAGGGAAAAATACCTGATATATAACCTAGTGAAATTGAATTTAGACGTTTACCTCCTTCCAATCAGTTCCCAGTACCTTATGCGCGTTCAATTTTGCATAGACCCATCAAAACGTGCAACCTTTATACGTGGCCTTAATTGCTCTGCTTACCACCCTACGACTAATTTCTGCCCTGTGTGTAGCTAACAGACCACAGCATGGTCATCTTTGATGAATCAATGAAACTAGAAGGGTATTACAGGAACGGTAGAATCCGGTCTGTGGTCATTAAGCATTTAATCCGAAACTGGTATTAAAAACTCCATTAACCAAAGCTCTGTGAGGGCTTTATTTAGGGATATAGATACAAAACGATTGTTGCAAGCATATAAAGAGGATAAATTAGTAAAGTTTTCTAGTTATAATCCTTGAGTTATTAAGTTGCTTACGATTTGTGGTACAGTTTGTATAGATAATCGATTGTGTGAGCTAAGCAGGACTAAGCTGTGTGTGACTTACACAGCACTAGGATACCAGGAAAATACACTAAGCAGTCTTATTTAGAGGTGAAAAATGTCACCGCGGTATCACTCGCTTTGGCACAGCCAGCAAGGTCATGGCCAGCAAAGTTCTTAGATTGCACCGCAGAAAATCAGGGGTATATACACTCATATTGTTGGCAACAAAGAAAATCGGTATTGGTGTTATGAACTGGATAATAGTACTTGAGGCGGAAAGGAGCGTTCTCAACAAAAAAACCAAAGCATTGGGGGATAGCAGTGTTCTTCATATGGTAGATAAAATGGTATTTCAGTTTGGATTCGTAGATTTGTGTCCTGGAAGCCACTGTGTCATAACTAACGAGGAGGTCTTGATGTGGAGCCCGGTGAAGTAACACTGTCCGAGCTTTTTCCTTGTGCAACCTCATCTTCGGGATTTTTTCTCCTCTTCCAACATGGCTCGAGTGTTTGCCTGTGAAAGGAACAGGTTCGCATCAGATACAATGCGGAAAAATACACTCTGCTTAGCACTGACGAGGTGATAGGATAAGTGCAAAGTTTGTCGAGGAACGAAAGCACGATGAAGTAAACCCAGTATCTGTACTATTTTCGTTTATTGCTTTTTCTAATGCTCTAATGTGCTGTGTATGCAATCCCTTTGATGGCGATAGCCTGACACGGAGTTTTTCGATCATTTGGCGTTTCGCCAACACCAAGGGTTAGGTAGTGGCACCGCCATATGTGCATGGGGACTCCTTCATCGGGATTGGGCCTCCACGCTGCGGAACGTACCGTGGTAATGTGATATCAATCCGCATGCGGTCTAACATGACGTTGGAATTTTTGTTGTTCCTGTTATGTGTATGGGATGGTACACGTACTCTCAATGTGGACTGCGATTTACTTCGACGTGAGCTTTGCTCTGTTTTGTCCCAGAGACTCTACGTGAAGCAATTGAGACGCAGGTGATTCGTGCTTCTAGCAATACACTTTCAGACAACTGATGAAGGGTACTAACATTAGGCAGCTGATTAGACATTGATGGTTACAGCTTCGTGTAGGCAATTTACCTACGTAAGGCGAGAACAGTGTGTAGTGTATTGGTTGAGAGTGCTAGAATGCGCTGGGATTATATATAATGTTATTTCTGAGTTGTATGCATTTTCCCTTAGGGGCGGCCTTGTCAAGCGTTAGACGTGATCATTCCAGTATTCGACGCAGTCAGGTACGATCAAATGGGTAATGATATGCACGATTGGTTGGTGAAATGAAACTTATATAATCGGTATTTAGATCCTGCAAATCGCTTCCTCCGAACGTGACCTCGGTGTGCTAAGTCAGCCTAACCATATGGTCTCAAAGTGATTCCAGATGGTGTAAAAACTGGCAAATAGAGTGGTTGTTTTTCGTCGCGATTGTTTGAATCTCTCACCCATAAAATCGCTCCCCGTCTATTCGCGGACCAATTATGAATGAGATTCCTTGGTAGGATTACCTCTGTTTTAACACAATCAGACCACATTTGATAATTTACAACAAAGGTGAATAACAGCATCAGGTGTCTGCTTCACCCCCCAGTGTAGCTAAGGCCGAAACCCATAGGGCTAGTACCATGTCAACACACCGATTCTATAAAGTCAAGAGAAATCCTGAATAACCGGGATACGTGTTATTAATTAGGGCGAGTGAAAATCAATCCAAATGAGTGATTGTTAAAAGAAACAATCACTGTCGACACAGATGGATAGTCAGTCGTCTCATTTTGGGATGTGTTTGGTCATTCACATAAAGAAAAAGAGAATAGGAATAGAAATGGCGTAATATGCCTAAGTATGTTGTTAAACGTTGGAGTGCATCGTTAGCACCACCGGTCTTTATCTCTGTCTTTACTTTTTGACAAAGTTGTAACTTTGATCGCCGTGGGTGACCCGTAGGCTACCACTGAGTAACTATTTTTGTGTCCCTCGTCATCTCAGTGTGACGTATTCGGGGCATCCTTCGATCATTCAAAAAGCTTAGGTTGCAGACTTAGGGCTTCAAGACTGTGTTATTGCAATTTGGCAATCGAATTTCTTTGAATTTTGACGGTATTTGAAACCAGGAAAAGGTACTCACAACATGTGTTAAGGATGCAGTTGAAAACGTTTATGAGTGACTGAATTTCTTGCCAAATTTGTTTGACTGGGGCGACCACAAGTACAAAAACCGGTCAGTTAGTACGCTCCAACGGACCCTCTAGCATCATCATCATTCATCAGTATACACGTTGGCTAGAGGTGGGAAACACCTCAGCTACTGTGCCACAATATATAAACAAGGGCAAATGCAACAGATGCAAGCCAGCTGAGCTGACGGTAATGAATGGGCATCGTTCCAGTAAGCTACCAGCCGTCTACTATGCAGCAAAGAAATTTACTATGCAAAATTATATAAAACTAACTAGTGCGATAGTGGTTGGAGGGGGGCGGGACAAAGAAACTCACAGCACGAATGCCACTGAGGTCGGCTCCTAGACATATCAGCAAGTGTATACAGCCGAAAGTGTCCATCCTCTTTCGGATCCCAGCCAGGGAGCCGAGACTCCCCAACCGAGGCCAACTTGGAACTAAAGTTCTTCACTAATATTGACCAAGTCATCGCTTAGCCACCACTCCTCTTTTTCCATCCACATCCCCGGCGCGCAAACAACGCACGTCGCGGGAGTCGGTGGACTGGCATGAATAACACGTGGCCGAGCCATCGGAGCCTGGTGCGTGAAATAACGGTGCTGAGCGGTTCATTTCCTTTTCCTGTGCCGTAAACAAGGCGTCGGACACGCTCGTTACTCATTCGGTGTTCCCACCAGATGTGAGCTAAACTGCGAAGTCACCGGTGGTCGAACGTAACGAGCCTCTTTATGTCCGCTGAGCTAAGGGGCCAGGTTTCACAACCGTACAGTAGGGTCGAATGTACCGCTGCACTGTACACTCCACCCTTCAGGGCGAGAGTGATGTCGCGCCGCTGTCATAAGTGGAGAAGGTTAGCAAAAGTGCCCCGAGCTTTTGCTATACGGCTCGTGATCTCATCTTCATTGAATAAATAAATAAATAGCTAAATTCAGGAAAAAACTATTTTTTATGCAAGCCCAAGGGCACTGATACAAGTTCCCAGGTAGTTCGATATCTTGGAACATATTTGGAACCGATCGGGAAGTCATCATTTCAGAAAACTTGGTAGACGACCGGTTAATGTATTTATGGTGATGGACAACGTTTCGCCTGATGAACCTTTTGTGTCAAAAATGAAACGTCGTCTTTCACCATAAATACATTAATCGGTTGTCTACCAAGTTTTCTGAAATGATTCCCAGGTAGTTGAATTTTTGGACGATTTCTATCTGATCCCCACCAAAGGTTAACGAAGGAGGCAGTCTGGGCCAATATTGGAGGAACGCTTTGCAGTTCGCGGTGCAAAGCAAAGCCCGAAGCGGCTGACAGCCAGTGCTAATCTGTCCATTGCAGCTTGGCACGTTTGTGAGCTGTCACAGATTAGGGCAATATCGTCAGCATACTCAGAGTCAAGAACTCGTTCTCCTGGGAGCAGATCCACACCTTTTAAGTCGTGTCCTGTGAACGCGATTTCCATGACTTCGTCAGTAGCGAAGTTGAAGAGGAAAGGTGACAGCGGGCATCCTTGTCTCACACCGCTAGAGATATTGTGGGTCGACGAGATCTGGTCGTAAGCCCTCACTCTGCCCGAGCTACGCGGGTATAATGCACAGATAGTATTCACATATTTCTCGGGTACACCATTCCTGACTACACAGTCTCATAGGGCACGTCTATCCATTGAACCGAATGCACCTTTGATATCGAGGAACACAAAAATGGTGGGCAGCCAATATGTGTGACGGTGGTCTAGCAACTGACGCAATGTGAAGATGTAGTCGATACAGCCACTACCTCGACGAAACCCGGCTTGCTCCTCACGAAGCTGGCTTTCATGAGTGCCGGTCAGTCTGTGAAGGATGACAGAGGCAAGCAATTTAGAACCGATGGAGATCAGACTGATTGCTTTATGGTTGCCGCATTCCGAACGCGAGTCTCCTTTGAAGACGGGAACAATAACGGAGCAGCTCTAGTTGGTTGGGACAGTATCCTGCTCCCACAGTTTCACTAGTAATTCATGTAAAGCATCAACAAGAGCAGAGTATCCGAATTTGAAGAGGGCTGGAGGAAGATCATCTGGTCCCTAGGCTTTGTTCAACTTCAAAAGTCCAATCTCACGTTCAACTTCTGAGCGAGAGGGTGGATCCAAAGGAACAGCATACAGAGCAGGACGATCACTGGCCGGCGAAGAATCGGACAATTTTAGCCGATTAAATTGCTCTTCAAAGTGCTCAGCCCAACTCTCCAAACGTTTTGACAAATTGTGGATAGGCTGTCCACTCACGTCACGTATGGTTTCACTAACACCAGGTCTCCTGCTGCCCGTTTCCCGTATCAGACGGAATAACTTACGATGGTTGCCAAGGTCAACGGCTGTTTCCATCTCTGATGAACGGTGAGACCACCAGGATTCGCGGTCTTTCTTTATGCCAGCAAGCAGTTATGTCCGGCAGTTTTCCGCGAGTCACACTCTGTTCGCTTCCAGCCGGAATGTGCCGGCGGGCATCGATAAGTTCCAGAGACTGCGAAGAGACCCAATGTCTACGTTGGCTATTAGACTTACCAAATGAGGATTTACCTGCTGATAGTAAGGTCTGGGGAACATGAGACAAGTGAGATTCAATGGTATCCAGTGAGCGTTTACTCTACTCGCATGTCACCATATTTCGCTACGCATACAGAACAGCTGGCTTCGTCAATTGGCTGGTGTCAATGCACTCACAGCGTCGTGGTGAACATCCGCCAAAACGCATCCGAAGATCAGCGGATACAAATGCATGGTCGGTGTCCACACATGTGCTCCAAATCGAGCGACAGTTCTGGATGCAGCCTTTCCAGCGGTAAATTATCTCAATGTGATCGATTAGCGTCCATAGCTGGTTCGAGGCTGGTGGGCGCCAAGTCACCCTCCGGCGGGTGCTGTGTCGGAAATTAGTGCTCGCAAGAAATAAGCGGGCATCTTCACATAAATGAAGTAACCGCTAACCGCTATCATTACGGGAGCCCACACAACGTTGGCCACCCAGATGCAGTTCATCAGTGGATAATTTTCCGACGAGCTTTCCCATCCCCAGCCAGCACTACAGTGTCCGAGCTTCTTTTGTGACGAAGGCGTTTGTTCAGTTGGTGGTAGAAGTCGTCTTTTACCGAATCAGCGCCAGAGTTGGTGGGTGCATAGGCAGCGATGACGAACAGACACCTGTTAGTTCCTCGCAACTTCGAAGATTTGAACGAGCCAGCCAATTGAACCACACACATCCGGTTAACGATTGGGATGCAATCAACCAGAGCAGCTTCAGCCTGGAGACTCAGGGCAATAGGAACACCGGCTTGGCCGTAAGAAGGGAAATAAGAAGGTGGGAAGGCTTGAACAGTGGCATCCAAACCCCTATCCACCCTGCTCGATGCAGCAGATAGGGCAGTGTTTATTATCGCACCAAGGTAAGATTCAGCCTCACACTAGCGGACGTATTTCGGTCCTTCGATTTACGCGAGGTGACAGCGTAAATCCTGCTTGTGCTGGAACCTGCCTTAGGACCGCGATCTTACTAAATCCTGTGTTCACATTTCAATTCTCATCACACGTTATTGTACTCAGAATCATTTCAACCAGTGCGAGGAGCGGTACTAAGTGTCCATTACGTGTTGGATCTATCTTAACTAAATAAATAAATACATATTTTATTCTCTACAAAGCGCGGCACGCCTTTTGGGCATGATCTGCATATTGCAATATTGTACATGATAGCATGATTAACAGGACTAAGTGTGGGAGTAGTACAGATGGAGTCAGTAGTGTGGGTCCACATGCTGGTCACAATATTCACACATTCATTACCAAGATCAAAGTGTGAAAAACCTCATTTCCCTGCTCACTCCTAAAGGTCTACACTTATTTGAACATACATTCTCAGGGCTCTCCTTCAGACGTTTTCTCACTATTATCTGACCTTCAGTTCCGGTTTTCCGGCCGCTTTTCTAACTGAAAGCTGTGTGTCTGTTTCCACATCTGTCCCTACGGTCAAACCCTACATTCAAATCGAGGCACCGATCTACCGCATACCCGTTTTGACGTAGCTGCAACGATTTCTAGACCCTGTACTACCACGACATGGCCGGACGCATTCAATCCGCCGGTTGTCAGTCACCTCACCACTTGTTCAGGTTTTGACGTGTTTGGGTGTCACGTGCACACCTGGCCCAACGAACGTTCACCAAGCGTGTGTAAGCACTAGTACAACAGCTACTGCTCGGATAGACATCACGGCGATCGACATTTACTTGGCGTATTGCATTGGCGATGACCAAGGCATGCACCGCCTGCCCACGGACAGCTCAATCGAAAGAAGTACAATTTACTGTCAACTGTGGAGGCTGTGTTAAAAATGCGCGGACTGGAATAGAATGCACAAGCTGTTTAAAAACTTCCATCCTAAGTGCTGTCGTCTTCGCCTAGGCGAGGTAGAGAAACAAAGTACCACGACAGATGCCGTTTAGTTTTGCATAGAGTCAGATGCGTAGAGATGCTGGTGCGGAAGTACAACAAACTAACAAAGATTGTAGAGTGAGCAACTGCCGAGGAGTATTTACAATACACCTCACGGACGCAGTGTCCGGCAAGGCATGGGACATTTTGTTCAACTGAGTTGAGGTAGTATTCGCACAGGGCTAAAGCTGGAAGTTGTAGAACGTTCCGAGGATGGTTCGGGGATCAGAATATTACCGGAAGACACCGCTACTATTTTTTTTCTTTAAGCATAGCAGAACTTGCTGATTTCCTCCTCCTCCAACGCTTGCGTTTGGCAGATGCAGGATATATCAGTTCTACTTTAATTAAAGTGGAACCAAATTTTTAACTTTGTGAGATGCGCGTACTGTGGTCAACACATGATTATCCATCTAAAATCTCCCGTACCATTATAATATTCAGCAACATGCAAATTTCTTCCCAGTTTATCCCTCGAATGCAGGTTTCCAGTGATTTTTGACACTAACCGAATCGGACAGAAATTCCCAAGCAATCATCAAAGTGTTGGGAAACCCGCAGCTGAAAGATACCGAGTAACTTTAGGCTCGCAAGCTCTTTTGGATAACACGAAAACTGCTTCCAAGCTAAACCTTCGAAAAAATGCTTGCAAGTGGAACCACGACAGACAAGTCACCAACTCGACACAAGTGGGTAAGAAATCATGAGTTAGGTTGCTCGTGAACCCGAGAGTGCACACTACTGTGGAGTCTCGACAGAACAAACCGAAGGTCAGGATTTAACATCGATGAAGTAGATGTGGAAATTATATCAAATACCTCTTACCCATAGGTATACCTCTAAACGCAACTAGCTATTACCTAGTTGCACTGTATGGGCAAATACATTCTGCATACAACTCACTAATTGCTTCTGCTGGATTTGCAATTCATCTTTCTCCGCACGGAGTTTGTTAAGAGCTTTTTCAGATGCCGCATTCTTCGGTGCTGTCAACTCCATAAGCGCGATGTTTGCTTCTTTTTCACACAAGGATGCTGTTAAAGATTCCAACCTGGTAAGAAATGCATGCAGTTGCTTTATTTGACCAACACGCGCATTTAGATGATCAAATTTATCAACCGATCACCTGATTTCTCCTAGATTGGTCAAAACTGTAATGCATCTGTGAACATGTATTGATAAACGAGCCAGATGCACTTGCGATGTTTAGTGGTTTTCATGCGGCGACTACCGTGGGGCAAGAATTCACCATTCCAGTTCGGACTTTATAACGTGATGGTGAGGCGAAACGGAAGCTCCTTTGGGTGAGAGATGGCTTTTGTACCGCCAGTTTAAGTGAATAAAAATAATTGTGAAAATCATGGTGACGGGGCTAATTTCACAAGTCGGCCCCTCATGTTCAACCAGATGACCGAAATACAGAGGAAAACTGGGGTTTATCAATAGATAATGTTTTGGCAGCAGTAGACCAGTTTTCGCGAAAATGACAAAACGTAGCCCGGCTCCTATGAAAAAAGATCGCCGCAGCCGGGCAAATCCGAAGCTACATGTCCTCAACACTTGACAATGCATCTGGAAAATAGCAGCCCGAAGTAGCGATGTAACTTACAGATGGTTACGTGACATATTGTACTCAATCTTTCATTTCTCCTTTACTGATTTTTTTAGATTATGATGACATTAAGATTGAATTTGGTTACACTTCCGAATAATACGGTGGTTGACTGTTATGCTGGGGGACTTTGGCAAATTTTGGTTCACCTCCTGCAGCATTAGTTTAGTAAGAAAACTCGCCAGTTGCTAATACAAATATACATCTCCCTAATGAAGCCTAGGTTGTGAATTTTTTATTTTGTGTTTAATTTGACAGACACCCAACCAAAACCCACCAGCATGTTCATATACGCTAACCGAGCCTAGATAAAACAGCGTCCTGTACTCCCAAGTATGTCGCTCTACTAAAGTCGCATTTAGCAATGCGAGCAGTGTCGCTCCGATGAAGTACCCTCAAGTTTAACATATTTTTTTACAGGCAATTAACACAGCTAAAGAGTTGGGCAAGTAACCTTTGCTAGGCCATGTGAACGCCTAGCATCAGGATGAAAGTGTAACCATCACTTGAGAGAGAACTGGATGATCCCTGGATTAAAGGGCTCAATTGAAACGTGGGTGTGCTGTGCATATTTTGTAAGGTAGACTCATCAAGCCTTACTTGATTGCTAGTAGTTCGTCTGACTGATTCTCAATTTGCCTCGCAAGAGTTTCAATCCGTTTTGTCTGTTGATCAATGTGCTCCTTGCATCGAGAATGCTCAGTGCGTAATTTCTCAAATTCCACACTCGAGACTTGCCCCTGGAATAAAACATTTTAAAATGAAAGATATTTAGTTTTGCTCCTTAAAGTCAAATGGCGGCCAGCATCGGTAGTCAGAGAATTTCGAACATTCAGTTCACCGCCTCCAGTGCCAACAAAAAGAGCGCAGGTAAGTGAGAATATCTGATGTTTTCCTGCTAACAGCTTAACCTTCAGAATGAAAAATGAAATAATCACTTCTATTAGAACACTTGCACAAGATTCGTTCGGATAAGTACCCTTTCCTTTATGTGAACTTCAATTAAGAATATGGTATGATCCACGTTAACCATCTCCCTTGGCTTAACAGTTAAAAGTAGGCTTCACTTCTTCTCCTTTGGGCACACTCATCTTCTTCAACTTTCTGAGGAGTCTCAGAAAATCGCACTATTATACTGTTAGTTCAATCGTATCCCACCCGAGTTTCTGTTTGGTAGACATAGTACTTCGTTTGGTTAGCTAGTTTGGTTAGCTTTGTGCAAAAGGCTCTACCTTCAGTGTGCATTGTTCCAATATTTTTATCAGCAGAATGCTATGAGATGTAAACCATTAGGAAAGCATGGAGCAAGTTATTTTATCATCGGCAGTTCTTTGGCATCCAGGTGTGTGGGACTCATCCCCGTCAAGATTGAGCATTCGTATTAATACATGACGTGATCTACTTGTAACACACGCTCATAAGAAAGCGCGCAAGCCAACGTGGAGAGGTGTCTAGCGGCTCTTGCTATACGACCTTACTGGGAATACCATACACAGCTTAACCTTGTGTCTGCTAGCAAAGATAAACAGTTAAGTATAAAGTGCGGTTCCTTATTTGCAGACTTATGCACTCTACAAATTCAAGAGTTCAATGTAACGCCAATGGTGATGTGATAAACAGCGTTAGCATCAATTGGTAGTAAGTCATTACTTCCTAGACCTGCGCTTGCCTTAACTAGCACAGTGCTGGTCAATATCCTCGGTTTTATTTTTTTGTCGCACTATTTGCCATTCTAGTTTTGTCCACCATTGTAATCAAGGATACTCCAACAATCACAGAGACAAGTAACTTTTCAAGCTTTATCAAATATTCCGTGTCCCGTGTTCTTCTGTAATTTTGTATTCCTCTTTCTTAGTAGGTTAATCACTTAGGGCCACTTGCCGCATACTTTTGTTTCATAATTCCTATTTGAGGTTGGCAGTTTACCAAGAGGTTGCTAGATTTTTTAGACTAACCTATTCCACCACGTCCATCCAGACCAGTCCAGTCACCGTCAGATGCCAGGAGGAGGCAAAGAACGACCCAGTGATAAAAACTATATACTTTAATTAGTCCAACAGAATGCATAACTCAGTGTGACTCAATTACCACACAACCCCCAACCCCTGAATGCAGTGACGAAGAATCTCACCCAGAACACCTAATTTATTCCGATCTGGCAATCACTCACAAAGCAGTTGTTATTAATATCCCTTCTCTTTTACCTAAAATGGATCTACTTCCAACGGTTGAATTTATGAAAACCCATTACTTTGCTTTCATTACTGAAACGTGGTGCACATCAGAAGTTAGTGACTCTCAGATTAACATCTTAGGTTATCACCTTGCCCGCAAGGACTGTGTAGGTATTTACGGCGGTGATTATGCCACGTACCTTCGTGAAGGTCATGTTGCGATTCCCGCTGATCAAGCTGTTCTCAGTGACCTGGAAGACCTACTACGACTGACGATCTCCTCTGCTGACCTAGTGAGTTGTACCTATCAATTGCCTTGAGCATTGAGCCACTCACTGTAAAACGCATCAGCCAATTAGTGTTATAAATATGCTTCCAGCACCACCTACATGCCTAACTTCATGTGCTGAGATGTATAGCTACTACGGACTAAGTGGATGGTGTCTACATCAACGGCCATTAAGGGACTTGCGAAAGCAATCCGCTCTATCCACTCTAATGACTGGACCCAGTAAGTTATATAGCCCACCGGAACTATTATTTATCTACAAAATATATTCTCCATAAAGGTTCCCTTCTGCTTACGTATTCATTGATAATCCACTATAGGGTTACGAGCAAAACACAGAGATTTGCAACACTATATTAATTCACATAAGCACATTGTTGATATCCATTCGCAAGATTTAGCGTGTTGATTGGGACGCTTTTCATGAGCTAATTAGTAAATGGACTGGGGGTCATCACTCTCACTTGGAAGCTGAGGAAGAACCCCAGCAACTTGAGAATTTACATTCTGTCGCCGACGATACGACTTTTCGCTCTGGTTCGCAGAATAGTTGTACAAGTAACCTACCTTTAAGTCCTATAAATGTATTGGATACCCAGTTTAAAAAGAAACAATCGGTAGCTGAGTAAGAAATAGAAAATCAGAGGCGATTATACTGACGGAAAACGAAAAGATAATAATAATGTGCCAGCTGTACGCCGAAACGGCGCTTCGCTGCCGCGCGACCACCACTAGTCGCGAGCTAGGGGAGTATACCCCGGTGAAAAAATGGAGTGGTCTAAACCATTTCTAGATTGATTTCAGTCTTAAGGCAATTTGTTTAACCTGTCATTGATCACTTTACGTCCCTAATGCAGAAAATTTAATCAATTACCAATCTAAATTTACTCTGGACCGCACTGAGTGGTCTTTCGTGGACCTCGCATGTGATACCTTACGTACGTGTGCATAGGTGTGGAATGTGTGAGCGGCACAAAACTTTCGGGGTCATTATGCCCCATGGCCTGAGCGGGACAATGTGGTAGCCAAACGGCGGACATCACACCCGCCTGGCATACGGGGGTATAAGTTTAGTTCCGAAACCTCAAGGTGATTTCACGCGTCTGACTTATAAGTGGAAACGTCCATACGATTCCCATAGTCCGTCTCTGGTCAGCGAAGTTGTCACTTTTGCTTTCCCCAGTTTGGTTGCACGGGAACCGCACGCAGCGATCAAGGGGAAAAGTAACTCTTCCTCATAGTTCACCTACCAAATTTCTCTTTGATTTGTTTTACATGATTTTTTAAGCTTTAGATCACCTTACGCTCGATGGGAAGAAGAGGAACGTACGCCCGTCATCCGTCCTATGTAAAGACTCTTATCCTGAAGACATATGAATAGAGCAACGACGGGAAGTGCATTGTATCTCTGGTACCGGTAAATGTGAAGACATGTAGAAGCTGGATCAAAACACTAGAATTAAATGAGCCGACAAGCGATCGTAGTATGTCGCGTCGAGTGTCTTTCAGATATTCACGTGGATTACTTGGTGGAATGGGTGGAATTGGACCCTACGGTTACTTTGGAAACTCTTCGGTTACGACTGAAGTTGGAGTTCGTGGTGGACGTGAGCGTCAGGACAATCACTCGTTACCTAGACGGTCGCCTCATGACAATGAGAAAATTACATGCAATACCGGAATCCATGAATAGGATGGATAACAAAAGGTTAAGGAAGGCATACGTGTTGAAGTTGATGAACTTGGAGGCAGAAGGACGGCGAACGGTATGGATAGATGAGACTAACTTTACTCTGTTCTGCGCTCGCACGAAAGGACGTTCAGCACGTGGTATCCGTGCACACTGTGCGGTGCCGAACACTGGGGGACGAAATCTGCACCTGATCAGCGCGATGAATGAGGATGGATTTCTCGGAGATTCTGTCATAAGCGGAAGTTATAATAAGGAAAGCTGTGCGCGGTGGTTGCGGCTGCTGCTTGATACCAAAACATCCATTTCGCCGAAGGATGTCTATTTATTTGTGATAAGACTTCTGTCACACCGATCTGAAGCGTATCTTCCAAGAGGCTCCTTATGGATCAGGAAGACGTCTACGACTGACACCGTACTCTCCGCAACTGAATGCGCTCGAAAGCATTTGGAGTATCATTAAGCCCTAGGTTAAACAAACCATGAGCATGCAAAGTGCACCATGCATCATTTCTAGTCTCAGCGCTCGTGGACGAAAAAGAATACAGCTTCGATTGGGCCAAAACAGAAGTCCTGACAAGCGGCGAAACAAGAAGTGAAAGAGATTTCCTGGAAGCTTGGTTCTCATCAAAAGACTCATTCAACATGTATATCGACGTTGACCTAGTTTACCAGCCCCTCCGACGGAAACAATTTAGCGAACTTACGAGTCACCGCTTGAATAGCAACAACCTGAGTGACTAATTCCGCCGCGGGGAAATGAGCAGAGATCAGGGGATACAGGTCGTAGCCGTCACTTTCGAAAAGTCACCTGCACGCCGATCACGGATTTACAGTGCAATCAGCGAGCTTACACTCCACGTACCAAGGCAATGATAATGCCACCTCGTAGGGTGGTAAAACGTATGCGAACAAATTGCCAAGCTCGGGGAACGAATGAGCAGACGAACTATGATATACGCCAAAAAACTTGTACCATTTTGCCTACGTTAGTTGGAACGGCGCGTGACATGTCTTCGCACAATCGGTAGCTTCAATATACTGCATAACGACTGGTTAACAACACATGGTCCATCACTGCAGCGAGAACCAAATGTAATCATAGTTTTCAGTAACTATTGCTATACCCGAGTGAACCTTCGCAGAGCCACAGGCGATTCCAACTGAAAGCCACGGTTTACCGCAATCGGGGTGGCCCCACATTAATTTTAAAGAAAAACTTCAGTGAACGGTAACAAGAAATATAGCAGTGGTGTTGAACGGGTTACAGATCGAGTAGGTGCAAAGCATGTGCATAGGTATTTCCTACATGACAAACCTTTTGTTGACAGCTGTACAGCGTCACGCAGGCACGTGCTTCCACAACAATCTGCTCCAAGAACTGCATAATCCATCCAGTCTTGCTAAGTACGACATCGGGATCCCCCCGGAGCATTTCCGAATATGGCCGCCTCATGGTTTGTTTAACCTAGGGCTTAATGATACTCCAAATGCCTTCGAGCGCATTCAGTTGCGGAGAGTACGGTGTCAGTCGTAGACGTCTTCCTGATCCATAAGGAGCCTCTTGGAAGATACGCTTCAGATCGG